ATCAGCTGACTATTGGCCCTGCATGTGGGGCTGCCGTACCCGACTTTCAGTTTATCATAATCTCATGCACCACCCTGGTCTGGCAAGTAGTAATGGTGCAACTGGTACATTACTGGAGGTGTAGTTTTTGGGATTGGGCATCAGATCCCATTGCACCATTAAATAAACATGTGCCAGAGACCTGAGATTTTAGCTAAGGGGTGTGAGGTTTTTTTTTTCTTCCTCCAACTACACTCTGTGATGGAAGCTTCAATTGTATGCTTATTTTCCTTAAATTGGTCTCGGGTGTCAGGGGAGGGGTAATGATAGCTGACAGTTTTCTTCCTTGTACATATTCTGATTAGCAGAGTGAAGCATTGTATATCTACTATAATTTTTCATGGTAAGCTCTGCACCAACAAGTTCAATCTTTATCTTTCTTGTAATGGATTGATTCCCATCAAAAACAAGCACAGTTGGTGCCTCTTCTGCCTGTGGAGAACCACATTCCCAGTAAATGCTGTGTGCACCAGTTTTTCTGCTTGAGGACTTATGCTTGGCTTATGTAACATCTATGAGAAGACTAATCCGTATAGGTTTATCTGTAGAAAAATCTCTATCAGAATAAGCTAGTTTGTGTCTGTTTTCCCTCAAGCTCGTGCCTGTGTTCATTCTACTCCAGTAAGCTGAACTACTTTAAACTACAAAGAGATGTGGGGTTTTTTAGTTTCTTCCTGGATAGTTCATGAATAGCACTGGGCCTACTTCACACAGTCACTATCTGTATAGCATTCCCTTAAGACAGGTATATGAAAAATATGGCCCGCGGGCTGGATCCAGGCCACAAGCTGATTGGATTCGGCCTGCAAGCAGATGCCCACCAATTAATTATATCCAGCCCACAACTGCCCCTGCTGCAGCCTGTATGGAGCTGCTCTCCCAATCTCACTCCAGAAGGCCCTGGCCCCAGCTCACAGCTTCCCGGTGGGGCTGCTGCTGCTGCAACAGCTGGAGAGCTGCTTGGCTCCCCCTGCCTCTAGTGGATCCTCCTTTTGTCCCTGCTGCAGCACTCCAGACAGCAGGTAGAAAGGGGAAGCAGTGGTGGGTGGGGCAGGTTGCAGACAGGAACTCAAGGCAGGCTGCTCCAGGTGGGAGCGGACAGGGCTCAGCCCCATTTGGAGCGTTTGGGAGCAGTTGTGGGCCAGAGGTGAGTGGGGGGGCTGGGAGGGCAGACTGTACCTACACCACCCTGGTGAGCTCTGCTATACGTGCCCCCTGCCTATCCCTCCTCTCACCCACCCCTGGCCAGCTCCCAGGACCTAGTGCTTGGGCAGCCCCCCACATGCAAATACTTAACCCACACCCCACCACACATGCACCTATCCCCCAGCCACACACAACACACTCCCCACATACCTCTCCCCCACAATATACAAAAGTAAGAATTTATTTTGAGCTATTATGCATTTGCTTCAAGATAGTGTTGCCCCTGCAGAACTCAGGACCTGCCTATCCTCACCACTTTGGTGTTATAAGCACAGATCCTGGTTTTCTCTGATTTAAAAAAAAAAAACAACAACCCAATTTTCAGATTTAAAAAAGTCCAACAAAATCCACATTTTTCCATGATTAAAATGGAATGCCACTAATATACATATACATCTGTAGTGGTTTTAATAACGGAAAAATGTGGATTTGGGGTTTTTTTTTATATCTGAAAAATGGGGATTTTTCTTTTTTATCAGAGAAGACCAGGATCCCTGGTTTTAAGTTTCAAACTGCAGGGGAATGCAAAGAGAGTCGCAACTGTTTCTTCACTTTATGTCCTTGCATGGGAATATGAAGAGGCATAAAGAGACTTGTCTATGCATACAGTGAGTCTGGCCCTAATTATGACATCTCTTAAATCCACAGGTACTGCAGGTTATATTATCATTCTTTTTATAAAATACAAGTCTCACAGTAAGTGTAGCTTTTGAAAGGAACATCTATTGATTAGATTAGTACAGGTTTTCCTCGCTTTATGCTATACATGCATTCCTGGAAAATGGAGCATAACTCAAATTCTCATAAAGGGAACCCACTTTACAATGTAACGAATAGGGATACATGCCAAGACCTTGACTGTACTGATGGCCCAGCCCCATTTCTACCACTTTTACAAGACAATTTTGGTACTCGCCAGCAGCAGACAGTACACACAAGCACGCAGTGGTGGTGAATGTTAACATGATGGGGATGGCAACTACAGAAACATGTCTCAGACAACAAGCAAGGAGCACAGATCCACACAGGAGCCTATATTTTGGTGCGTGTCAGTCCCACAATGCACCGCACAAAGCAGCTAACTCCGGGCTTCCACCACACTGATCGCATAAGAATGAATTTACCTTGCACGTAACAAATTTTTGGTATAAAAAGGGTCATCGCAGAAGAGTGAATTAGCTCATACGGAACCCACATATAGCGAGGGAAACCTGTATTCCTTGCTCACCTTCCCCCTTTGTAGGGAACGGGCCCAGCACAGTACTTGCTGTATAGCCACCACTAGGGGATGCTAGTGTACTCTCCAACAAATACCACTTGTCTGATAAATTATGAGTGTTTACACCATTTGGTGTTTTAATTTACTGTCTTTCAGTATATTGTTTTTTCATCCTGCCTATTTAAACTGTAAAACATATAAAAAGTAGGCAGTTACCCTTGAGAACAAGGGCTGTATGTGAGTTTGTGCCAAACTAGTACTGTAAGTAGCAGAAATGGAACTTATTCACGTTTCTGAGTATCTGGGTCATCTAGATATGGTAACGTAGCATAGTATAACTACATAATTGCCTGTCTCTGCAGACTCCAAAGTAACAATTTGTCAAAGATGCTTATTCACTTAAATGTGTGTGGTGGGAAGGAAAACGTGCTTACTCATGAATGGATGCTCTATTGACCATGAATTTATCCAGTTTACAATTGTCTCTCTCTCTGTAGAACAGTTGAAAAGTAGGGTTGCTGCCAACTATATGTCATTTTAAAAAATACTATAGAAGTATGATTTTTAAAAATCCATTTAATTTGAAATTTATTTGTGTCCCTTACCAGCCATCCTTATTTTAAGGCCTTTAATTTAATGAATGCTTTGGTTATACCCTGTGACATTCACTGAATTAGGGTTTGTTTCTGTCTCTGTATTAATAAAATGCATAATGCATAATTTGTAGAAAGAAATATACCCTTCACTCATAAAATTTAAAGACTTATAAATGAATCTCCTAATCTAAAAATAAAGGTTAATAGAGCTAATAAAGTTTTTATAATTTTATGTTCATTTCAAAGCTAAGGAAAACCCATAAAATGACTTCCATGCAGTGTATAAATGGTATAATAAGCAGAAGGTTTTAATTAAGCCCTTATTACTGCCATTTTTTAAAATGTTGAAAGAATTTTCTAACAGTTTAATGTATTAACTGGGAAAAATGGTCACAATTAAGACATCTACTTATTTTTCCCAAAGAAATAATAGCATTCCAGGAAGAATTCAATTTATTCAGTTAATCTTTTTTTAAATTTGGTACAATACCTATACTAAGTAACAAATGCTTATTTTAAAAGAAATTCAAATTTACAGTAGCTGTATTAAGCACAGCTTTGCCAGTAAAGTAGTGTCTAGAATACAGTGTGCAAGAAAATTACTTCAAGTTTAGATGTAACCCTGGTTTTATAAGCATTTTATACTGATTATAACTGAATCTGCAATAGGACGATTTTACTGGTTTAACTATACAAGGATAGCTACACGAAAAAACCCCTGATAATGTAGACAGGCCTAATATGTGGGACTGGGCCTTTTGCCCAAGATCTAACAGCATATTTAAAAGTATGCTTACCCAGAAGCTTGCAAGGTAGTCCCTGTTATTGTCCTATTGAATGAGCATATTCACTTTTAATTCCTTTATAGTGTTCACGTTTGTGTAACCATTCAGTGGAAGTGATTACTACTCCATTTGTTTTTTCATAGGATGTAGCTTAAAACTATTTGGTCTTTATTTATTAGTCTTTATTTAAACTCAGTCTTGTGTAGTATCATGTAATGAAGCCTATATGCTGTACAGTTTAACGAATCATGTAACGTGGCTTAAAATCCTCCAAACCTCACTTAAAACTAAACTAGACCATGGAACATAGCAAAAGCAGTTGTTTGTGATCACTTGTGTTTATTATAATACAAATGAAATAGTTTTTATTTGTTGAGTCCCAAATACAATGTGAGCATGTCTTCCACTGACAGACAAGGTTCTTTGGGTAAATGTGTGATCCTGTATTAGATCAACTAAATAGTTGGAAAAATTGTTCTTTGCAAACTTTCGGACACAAACACCCTTCTTCTGGTATAGTGAGTGTCTGCTGGTATTTTGTGTTCTCCATGATGGAATAGAATAAAGGATGGAATAATATGAAAAATGCAGGTCTGTGAAAATGCAATGCACGGCAGTAAGGATCAGAGGTGATGGGAGACAAGGTGCGAGACAGACAGGTGTTGGGGAAAGGGGGAAATGTTGACCTAGTGATGGAACGTAGCTGGTAAATGTAGAGAAGTTACTTGGGGTTATCAGATGACACTTAGGTTATAATGTGCCAGAAATCCAATGTCTATAATTAGTCCATGATTTTTTGTATCCAGATGATCTATGAAGTGGAGTTCGTAGGCTCATCTACAACAAGTGTTTTTTTTATAACACAGCTGCTATGCGCTGTCCCAGTTTTTAACTCCTTTCACCAGCAGAAGTGGATAATCTACGAACATTTATGTGTGTCTAAATAAATAAGACTATTTCTAAAGAATAAGAATTTTTACTTCATAAATAATTATTAGTTCGGAATAATTGCCTTTTAATTTCTGATTTAATAACCAGAGTTTAAAGGCACAGAAGCTTCCCATTACCATTCTAAGAGTCAACAAACTAATGTTTCCTCCTTATGTCAGTTATGCTTTCTTTTTGTAATTAGTTATATTATTGTTTGATCAACAGGGATGCCCTCAGACTTCTGCAACAGCAACAGAAGAGCAAAACTACTGAATTGAAACCTTTGGTTTCTCCTGCCCCTCCCCAGCCTTCTGCAGTGCCTTTAGCCCCACAAGCAACAACTGTGTCTTCTGCTTATCCAAGGCCTGCAATTCCACCAATATCTACAGTAGGACAACCTGGTGTACCGGTAATATTAAAACACCATTCTTCTATTCCAATCTTAGCTTACATTCCATTTCAACTAAGTAAGGTTGCTGCTGTGTTTTGTTTGTTTGTTGTGCCTTTTTAGTGGAGAGCAAATTAAAGACAACCATGTTGAACTTATTTTTAGGAAAATGTAGGGGGACTGGAATTTAGAACTCCTGAGATTAATTCCCAGCTCAACTAAAGATTTACATGATTTTAGGCTTGTAATCTATCTGTTCTTCCTTTCTGCTATAAAGTGCTTTTTTTCAACTGAACTTTTATATACAGGCTGGTTGCAGATATGAACTGCCTCCCTCCCCCAAAAACGCGCTTTACTTAAAATTTGGTGCACTCCTGCTCCAAGCCCAGTACATGCCCAGAAGAGGCAGTGCATTAGTTCAGCCTGGCTCTGCAGCATCTATTTAGATTGGATGCTTTAGTGGGGCTTTTATCTAATAGCTGATTGAATCAACTTTAGATAAAAGCACCAAAAAGCCCTGCTGAAGTGCCCGATCTATACAGATGCGCAGAGCTGAGTCACACGACTGCACTGCTGCTTCCAGTAAAGCGCTTTTTTTTCTCTCCATGTCTGTAAGCAGCCACAGCATACCAAAGCTAGCTGAGAATTTGCCCTGAGAAGTGAGGTAAATTAGCCCATGCCGAGCTCTCTGCAACTGCAGCTAGTCTGCCCCCAGTTCCTTGAATTTCAGTAAATTACATACACTGGGCATTTTTGACACACCTTACATTGGCTCAATTGAAACGACTTGATTTGGCTAAAAGCATCACTGACCACTGGTACAAAGACAGTTTAGTATCTTTAGTCAGCCTACCACAGTTAAACTAAAGATGCTAAAAAAAAATAATCCACTTAACACCATTTTAGTCCGCTTAAATTGGATTAATTAAGCTGGGGTTTTTTTATAAAAATTGGTTTCTATTTTTAGCTTAGTCAAGAGGCCAGGATTTCTTAGGGTAATATCTTTTATTGGACCAGTGGCATACTTGGGATATAGTTTGACAAGCTTTCAAATACAAGGCATCCTTTATCCCTAGTCAATCAACTTAATTGAAAAATCACCTCTCTTTCCTAGCCGTAGTGTCTGTTTATTCGCATGTAAAATACATTTACTTATCTGAATCTTTGTGAAGTGCTTTGCATTTCTGGTGAATAAACAGCATATGAATGGAAAATTCTCTCAGTAGTGATTTAAAAAAAAAGGTCATGAAATCTGGTGTAGAGTAAATTTTGAGTTGGATAGAAGATTGATGTTGAGAAATTGATTAATGTGTTAAAAATGGCAAACCTGTAGACTTTTTTTTCCTGAGTATTTTGGTCTGAAATGGCATAAGTATCAGAACAGGTTTGTGGGGGGTTTTTTGTTTTAATTCCAGGCCTAATTGTTTTTCTTTTATCAAAAATCTTTTTACTTCAATTGTATAATACTGTGACTGTTATATATTTGGTATAGGTTCATTATGCACTATATTCTGTCACATGAACAATTATTTCTTCCCAAATTCTCCTGTGCTTCCTGATTAAATATCTTTACTAATATTACAAGGAATTGTAAGAAATTGTTTCTGTGAAAATTTTGTGAGTACCAAGTTATGACATGAGTGAATGAATCCGGTAGGAAAAGGACAGATTGATGACAAAAGAAATTATCTTAAATAATCATCTGAGGGACTGACAAATTGCTAGCTTACACAGGTAGCCTTCTCTTAAAGTGGGGATGGAGCAAAACGTTCTATAACGGATCGGATCCTTAGCTGGTATATAGAGCAGTGCTGATTTACACCAGCTAAGAATGGGGGGGGCTGATATGTCTGAAAATCTTGTTTGAAGCACTCTGCTAGAACTCACTGATAAAGTCAGTACATGGAAGCCTCACCTCATTGGTGGAGAGAAAAATATTAGCAGGGTAATAAGAATAGCAGTTGGTTAAACTTTTACTGTATTTACTTGAATATAAGATGATCTTGATTATAAGGTGATCCCCTCCAATAATTAGATTCTATATATGGAAAATGTATAAATTAGTTTATAATTTTCCAGGTATAGAATCTAATTATTGGAGGTTTGGCTTGAATTTATCCCCTTCTCACTGCTATAGCAGGGAAAATATACTATAGCAGGAAAAATATAAATTTGGGGGGGGGGGGGGTTTCAGGTAGCCTATTAGCCCTTTGCCTCCCCCATCTTCTTCCCCCTGTAGCCCCTTTCTCCTCTCCCCACCCCCTCCCTCCACTGACAGATCCTGGTCTCCCTGAGCACGTGGAAGTGAGGAGCATATTTGAAAACACTTACCTTGAAATACATATAGGCTCCTTGCAGACATGAACCCCCCTGAAACATGCTTTATTTGAAATTTGGTGTGCTCCTGCTCCAAGAACAACACATGTCCAGAAGAGACAGTGTTAGTTCAGCCCAGCTCTGCAGCATCTGTATAGAGTGGGCACTTTAGTGGGGCTATTGGCACTTTTATCTAATAGATTGACCTTGAAATACATAGATGTAGCAATTGGGATGTAGGTTGTAGCCGTGTTGGTCTAGGCAGACAAGGTTTTTTGGGTAAATCTTTTATTAGACCAACTCAAATAGTTGGAAAAATTCTTCTTTAGCAAGCTTTCAGGAGACAAGCTTATCCAGTTTGTGATGGGTCCCTTGATCCTGCCCAGCCCAGGTGGCAGCCCAGGATGTGGCATGTAAAGCTGATCCCACCACCCTTGCACAATAGGGCTGAGGCAGTGTGGCAGCTGGACTCAGCTTCCTGGCAGCCCCAGTCTGTCTGCCCTGCACCAGATGGTGAGGATGGGCAGCATCTCCACTGAGACTGGCCTGGGACTTGTATAGGCAGGGCACACTTGGTTCGGCGGGCAAGGAGCAGCATCTGGGAGTTGGCCAGGTGGGTGGGGCTGGGCCTGGACCTGGGCTTGTGGGACAGGCTCTGGTTCTGTGGGCATCGGTATGCCAGGAGAGGATCCCAGCTCTGCTCTAGGTCCTGACCCCATGCTGTCACTGTTCCACAATCCTGGTCTTGCCTGCCTGGTCTCCTAGACACAGCTCCCCACCCGCCTATGACCCCATCGCATTTGCCTCGCCAAGTGTGTCCTGACCACGTGGGTGCTGGGCTGGTCTACGTGGAGACCCTGGGGCTGGGATCATTGGGTGGTGATGGTGCAGAGCCAGGCCCTGGGGCAGAGTCCCTTAGGGAGTTTTGGTGAGCTCTTGTTGGGGGAGGAAGGGATCCTGACACGGCCTGGCAGGTGGGGGGGAGGCGGGGGCGGGGCGGGGGGGGGGGGGGGGGGGGGGGGGGGGCCCACGCACCAAAACTCCTGATGTGGCTCTCCAGCTTAAATGATTGCTCACCCCGTTGTAGGCAAATATAAGTTGAGGGGCTTTTTTCTCTGTGGAGACAGAGGGTGGGGTGGGCACCTTATCTTGTATTCAAGTAAATACAGTATATTTTAAAAGTATATAATTGTGGAATGAACAGAGGCTTTAAAGATTGCTACTTGCCAGTCCTACTTGTGTGTGCCAGTCATCTTTATTTCCTTCAGCCCTTGGAGCTCAAGTACTCTCAGAACATACCGTATACATTTAACATATGTATTATGGTGCCTAGGATCCTTTGTAATTATTCAAATTTAAATCTGGCAGGATTGTTTCAATGAGGCTAATACTCATTTTTTTTCAGATTTTGGTTAATTACCCTTCAGTTTTATGCAGTGAGAAAAATCAAGTAACATACCCTATTCATTTCCTGGGTTCAATGTAATCTGTTGTGTAGGTCTGAAATAGATTTGTCTTCCTGTAGTCTTGAAGCAAGCATGAAAAAATTCAAATATTTTGTTTGAACTTAGTCAATAACTGTTAGTATTGAATTACATTGTTTTTTGAGACTTAAGTGGTGCTGCCAGAATTTTCTTCTCATATGTAGTATGGAAAATATTACTTTCTTTCAGGGTACCTTCACAGAAGTCCCTGCAAGCAACATCCGAAGAGTTATTGCCAAAAGATTAACAGAATCTAAAACTACTGTACCTCATGCATATGCTACTGCAGACTGTGAACTTGATGCTATCTTGAAATTAAGGAAAGAATTGGCCGAAGGTTAGTGAAAGTTATTTTTATTATTATTTTATTATTATTTTATGATGGAACAAGGAACTCATTTAGTCAAGCCTTTTCAGAAAAAAAAGTCTTTTAATTCTAAAATTATATCTTCTGACTACATCCATACTATAAATATGGAGGCAATTTGATTCTCCTCTATGAAATAATAGCACATCTCCAGGGCCTTCATAATCAGGATAACTTTATTATCCTGCTATTCACCTTGCTAACAAATATTTACTGGCACTGGCTTTGCAGTATGCAGACCAGACTGAAAGCGACTGTAACTGCAAAATTCATCAGCAGATACTTGTGTCCTCTCCAGTCCTTAATTGTACTTCACGCATCATCTGCTGTATTAGAGCAGTGCAGACATTTTTGACACTTCTGACATGTCTGTCACTACACTGGGAACAGCTAAGCAAAAATTACCACCTGCTTCAGCATCTAGTACATCAGATACAAACTATGTCATTCCTTGTGGTTACTGGATTCAGACAGTTCAGCAGGAGATTGGAAGACAGAGATGTTAATTCACCAACTAGCGAGAGGATGTTGAGGCAACTGCTGTTTTAACATGGGGTGGCTGAGTATACAAGTTCTTGTGTATATCTTCAGACTTCATGCATTTTTTCTGATTAATCCCCTAAAGAGTAAATCACATGTTTAGAATATAAACTAGGTATGTTTTTATGGGCTGAAATTCCATATAACAAATCTGCATGTGGGACAGTGGGGTAATTACAATGAAAAATAGACAAATGCCCTTTGCAGCAGTCAGTGGTGCTGGAAACCTTCACTCTGCTAGTCTAAGTCAATTGAAAGCTAATCAATTCTGATTAAAGTTGTATGCATATGGCCTTGCCTTCACTAGGAATAAAGATGCATTTTTTAACTCGTAGCTGATTCATGGGCCCCTGGCACATTACCATTCTGATACAGTTAATGAGTTAATCACACTATAAATAGTAATAGTGCCAGACATTCAGCTGATTTATGGTGCCATAAATTAGCACCTGCCACAAAGATATTTCTCAGAATATATGGATCATCTTTGTAGCTTACTAGTATGGTGCCATAAATTGAACTGACCAAGGACTGTTGGGGACAGGTCTGAGAGTCAGCTGACTGTTGGGGCCATCCCTGACATTCTGGGCTCTCAAACTGACCCAGGGCCAAGACTGAAACTGGCTGGGGGTAGTCCTGAGTCTAGGGTAGAGCCTCCCTCTGCCCTGTTTGCAAGATTGGGTTGGGTGCAGTTCAGCAGTAGTGCTGTTTGGATCAGAGGAATTTTACGTCCCACATGTGCATGGTACAATGTTTAGGATGGGGCATAAAATTCCTCTGATCCAAATTGTGCCATTCCTTTAATGTCTGCCAGGGACCATGGAAAAATCCTAATGAAGAAACCTGGCTGCCACCTGCCTCACCCAGGAGTGGCTGTGGTTGGCAGGCGCCTGAAGCTTCCAAACCTACCATAGCAGCTGGGAGGCTCCAGGCATGGAGTGCAGGGCTCAGTGCTGCCTGTTCAGGATAGGGCTACACAGAGCAGGCGGCGAGGCTGCACTGATCACAGCCGCCTACCAAGACTTGGGGGCTGGTGCAGGAAGTCTCATCCCTGTACTCTTTATTTTTCTCCAGGGTTTGCACCTCACTCCCCACCACTGATTGGACTTCTTGAAATGGGAAGGCCTAGATACCGTCTGAGTTCTGAGCAGTCTGATCTTTTTTGGAGCTCAGGTGGGACTCTGCCAGCAGCCCACGTGGCCTGGTCGATGGCAACATCCTGAGGGATAGCCAGCATGAGTTTGTTGCGGGTAGGTCTTGCTTAACCAATCTTATTTTCTTTAATGACCAGGTGACCTATCAGCTGGACAAGGGAGAAGATGTCGTATATCTTGACTTTAAAAAAGCCTTCAATCCGGTATCCCGTGATCACCTCTTAGCAAAACTGGCTTACTGCGGCCTCGGCCTCACTACGATCTGCTGGCTGGAGAACTGGCTCTGTGGTAGGACCCAGAGGGTGGTGGTTGATGGAAGTCAATCGTCGTGGTGCGCTGTGACCAGTGGAGTCCCTCAACGCTCTGTCCTTGGGCCTATACTATTCAACATCTTCATTAATGATGTGGACATTAGTATTAGAAGCGGACTGGCCAAGTTCGCCAACGACACCAAACTCTGGGGTAAAGCATCCACACCTGAGGACAGGAGGGTGATCCAGGCTGACCTTGACAGGCTCAGGAAATGGGCGGAAGAGAACCTGATGGTGTTTAACACCGAAAAATGCAAGGTTCTCCACCTTGGGAAGAAAAACCTGCAGCATGCTTATAGGCTCAGCAGTGCTACGCTAGCTAGCACTACGAAAGAAAGGGACTTGGGGGTCATGATTGACTACAAGATGACCAGGAGCCTTCAATGTGATGCTGCTGCTAGTAAAGCAATCAAAACGCTGGCTTGCATCCCTAGTTGCTTCTCAAGCAAATCCCAGGATGTCATTCTCCCATTGTACTCGGCCTTGGTGAGGCCATAGTTGGAGTACTGTGTCCTGTTTTGGGCTCCACAATTCAAAAAGGATGTGGAGAAGCTTGAGAGAGTGCAGAGGAGAGCCACGTGCATGATCAGAGGTCAGGAAAACAGACCTTATGATGAAAGGCTGAGAGCCATGGGACTCTTAAGCCTGGAAAAGCGCAGACTCGGGTGATCTGGTGGCCATTTATAAGTTTAGAAGGGGTGCTCACCAGGATCTGGGGGAACGTTTGTTCACCAGAGCGCCCTAAGGGATGACAAGGTCAAATGGTCACAAACTCCTCCATGACCGTTTCAGGCTGGACGTAAGGAAGAACTTCTTTACTGTCCGAGCCCCCAAGGTTTGGAATAGACTGCCATCGAAGATGGTTCAGGCACCCACATTGAATGCCTTCAAGAGACATTTGGATGTTTATCTTGGTGGGATCCTGTTATCCCTGCTGACTTCCTGCCCCTGGGGTAGGGGGCTGGACTCGATCTTCTGAGGTCCCTTCCAGCCCTAATGTCTATGAATCTATGAGTTCATAGACATTAGGGCTGGAAGGACCTCGCAAGATCATCAGTTTCAGCCCCCTGCCCAAAGAGCAGGAAGTCAGTTGGAGTCAGTTGACTCCAGCAAGATAATCATCCAAACACTTCTTGAACGTGCCCAGAATAGGTGCTTCCCCCATAGACTTCTGGGGGAAGTCTATGTCAGATTCTGGAGACTCGAATGGTAAAGAAATTTTTCCTTATGTCCAGTCTAAAACGGTCTTCTAGCAGTGTGTGACTGTTAGACCTGCTCCCTTGGGGTGCTCTGGTGAGCAGATGTTCTCCCAGATCCTGATGCACCCCCCCGATATACTTATAGGCTGCCACCAAGTCCCCCGAGCCTACACTTCTCAAAGCTGAAGAGCCCCATGCCTCTCAGTATCTCCTTATAAGGCCTGCTCTCTTGGCCTCTGATCATGCACATGGCTCTTCTCTGGTCTCTCTCAAGCTTCTCTACATCCTTTTTAAAGTGTGGAGCCCAGAATTAGATGCAGTACTCCAGCTGCAGCCTCATCAAGGCCGAATAAAGCAGAAGGATGGCATCCTGGGTCTTGCTTGAGATGCATCAGTAGATGCAAGCCAGGGTTTTACTTGCTTTACTGGCTGTGACATCCCATTGGTGGCTCATATTCATTTTATGGTCAACCATAACCCCTAAGTCTCTTTCAGTCATGGTGCTAGTAAGCGTAGCACTGCAAAACCTATAGGTATGATGTTGGTTCTTTCTCCTGAGGTGGAGCACCCTGCATTTCTTCATGTTTAATGTCATCAGGTTTGGATCTGCCCATCTTGTGAGCCTGTCCTGGTTGGCCTGAATCCCCAGCCGATCCTCTAGCATGACCTCACTTCCTCATAATTTGATGTCATCTGCAAACTTAGCCAGTCTACTTTTGACATCTGAATTCATATCGTTTATGAATATCTGGTCTGAGTACTGAACCCTGGAGGCACTGGTCACCATGTGCCTTGTTGACTTGGTTCCATCGACTATCACTCTCTGGGTCCAATGATGGAGCCAGTTCCCCAACCATCGGACCGTGAGTTTGTCGAGGCTGCAGTTCCCCAATTTTACCATGAGGACATCAGGGGAGACCAAGTCAACGGCTTTTTTGGAATCCTAGTAAATGACATCAACCTCTCCTCCCCTGTCCGGGTGACGTGTCACCTGATCATAGAAGGGAATGAGGTTGGTCAGGCATGACCTACCTGTAATGAAGCCATATTGGTTCTCTCTCAGAATGTTGCCTTCTTTTAGCATGTTGTTGATGTAGTTCTTTAATAATTTTTTTCAAGATCTTTCCAAGTTTAAACAGTTTAGGCTAGATCCACAAAAGAACTTGTGTGGAACTCAGTCAACCAACTGCCATGTAAAGTCCAAATTTTAGATCATTAAAACCCCACTGAGTTGTCACTTAACCCTAAAGCTACTTGAAGACCACAGGCACCTACATTTTTAGTGATAATGTCCCTTACACATCTAAAGGTCTGCTTTGGGCCATAACTTGCAGTTCTTCAGCCTAAGATTTCTTTGCCTATCTCACCTTAGGGCTTGATGTAGTCGGCATTCCCAGAGCATGCTTAATGGATCACATGGTGGTGATCCTGCTCCTCTCTTATCCAGTAGTGTATTGGTTGGAGTACTTACTTGAATTTCATCCTCAGGGAATATAAATCGATGTCTCTCACTATAAGGGCAAATCCCTAAACATGAAGCTATATGCTTCAGCGCATGCTTCACGCTGTACTAAATCTGCACTGGAGATCAGGTTCTGGGGAGTGATTTTAACCCCTAAGGTACTAAATAAAATAGGGCTACAGCACTCTGCCCCACTGTGTTTTGAAAAACAGAACCTAACTCTCTTCAGTTCTTTGAAAAAAAGGCTTAGGTGCCTAACTTCAAAAGAAGATTCGGGACTACGATTCAGTGGTGGTGGTGATGCGGGGCAGCCTGGTACAGCATGGGCTCTGGGTGCCTGCATCAAGAACTGCCCAGCAGCAGCGAGGGGGAGGGAGTGCTTTTCCCCCATGCCGAGCAGCAGTTTCTCCCCAGTGCTGCCGCTGCTGAGCTGGGACAGGCGAGTCCGGAGCAGGCGCAGGGCATGCCTGGTCGAGGCTGCAGGTCCCTGCTGGTACCACATAGCTGGAGCCAGCAGCAACAACAGCCAGAAGGGGCTGCACCAGCCCCACTGCATGCCCAGGGATCGGCAGGATGTGCCATGGCCAGGCAGTGTAAAGCAGGCATGGGGTGGGCAGGGGCTGTGTGCTGTTGGCGATGGTGGGGAGGCAATGCAGAGTGCACAGGCTCTGGGCTGTTGTAGGGCAGAGGCTGACCAGCTCAGGGGACACGCACAGGGCTCCCATGCACACCCCACTATACCCTCAAACCCTCCCACACAAACTCAATAATATTCTTAGCATGCAGTCCTTTAATTTGTTTTCAGGAAGAACTACATATGCTGTTTGTTTTTTCCAGTTCTGTCTCAACCTATTGCCTTTTCTTGGAAAACTGAGAATGTTATGGCACTTTATTTGTTTAGAATACAGCTGTCATTGAATGAAAGTGCAACTGAGTGCCGAGCACTTCCACAAAACAAATACAGAGTATCAAGTTGGGCATCCAGACAGAGGCACATGCAGGGGGTGGTGGCCACCCAAGAAAGTTTGGTTTAACTAATTTTTCTCAGCGTCACTCTGACGAAAAATGGGGTATTCAGAACAGGGTTGTCTTCAACTACCTAGATCACGAGACCCTCACTTCCCACAGTTCCGTGCTGTGGTTACTTCCCATCTTCCAGTTTCTGCAAGATCAATGCATGGGATCCAGCAGAAAACAGTTAACTTCACTATGCAGCCCTGACCCATTCCCTGAACTCAGTCAGTCTTGTGCACAGAATAACTTCAGGATTCTGAAAAAAAATATTAGACCAAATGAATAAAGGTTGGATCATAATATCATAACACAGATCTAGAAGGAAGCAAAAGGCTTCACGGGCAGCCTTGCATTTGGCCTTTCCTTAATAATTGTGTGGTGAACTTAACAATCTTAATGTCCTTAGAGTATAGTTTAGCTTATATATATACAGCTGTGTATCATACATAAATGCCATGTTAAAATAATCTAAAACAGTGTATTAGTAATAAGTATAAACTATTGAATATGTACATAATTTATCATAACCTAGGTGATTTAGGAATCTAATTTCCATTGATTTCCATTGAGAGTTAGACTTCCAAGTTACTAAGGTACTTCTGACAACATTACCCTCTTATTAAATTCATCGTTGCAGACAGGATAATTAATGAATGTTAAGCTTTCTTCTGCAAATCGGTTAGACTCCAAGAAAAAAATATATGTTGTTCTAAGAGTTCTGGTTGGTCAGTCACATTCAACATTTGTTGAATTGTCAGTTAAATTATTAACAATTGAATTAGCTCATGGTTTGACCAGCTTTACAGGTTTTCCATGTTTCAGTAAGTGTTTTTTTTCTTTATCTTTTCACTTCTTTCTCCTTGATGTTTCTCTTTTTTTCTAGTCAGCCTGAGGTTTTTCTTGTTTTACTTTTTGTTGTGTTTTTAAAGATGGAATTATAGTTTCTGGAGACCTAAAACCCAGGTTGTCAGAAGCTTTCACACTCCCATTTTTAAGTTTTCAATATAGCAATGCCAACATCAGCCTGAATGAG